CCCCCCCAGAAAATCCAGAGGCAGCTGAACAGAAGCTAAACCCAAAGAATCTTGTAATCCCATGGGCTTCCGAGAATCTAACACTTTACAACCTGAGTGAGTCCCAGCTAGAGATAAGCTGAAAAAGCAGATATATAGAACACTGTTTACAGTACTTGGTGCAGTACCGGAGCAACCGAGATTCAAGCCGGATGGAAGAGTGGATCACCAACCTAGATTCTCCCTGACTAGTGTGGATGAGCAGAAACTGTACACATTTCAGGTTCAGAGACATGTTAACCCTGGTGTAAATGGAACTAACCAGTCCACTGGGGGAGCCATACTGCAGAGGAGAATCCTTTCTTGTTTGCAGTGGAAGCTGTGCTTATCCCTGTTGACACCATGGGGTTGATTATTACCCTGATCTTTGTGTATTGTTGGTTGGAACAAATGCCTCGAATTCCCCACATCAAGAATCTAGAGGATCTGGTTACTGAATACCACTGGAATTTGTCGGCCTGGAGTGCTGTGTCTAAAGGGCTGAATCAGAGTCTGCAGCCAGACTATAGTGAGTGATTCTGCAATGTCAGTGAGATTCCCCCCGCCTTCCCACCCAAAGGAGGGGTCCCAGGAGAGGGGCCTGGTGGTTCTCCTTGCAGCCTGCATAGCCCTTACTGGCCTCCCCCATGTTATTCTCTGAAGTCTGAAGCTTAAGCTTCAATCTTTTGATGGAACCTCAAAGTCCTATAACCCTAATTGATGTGAACCTCCTCCTACACATCTTGCCAATCTGGATCCAATGCTCATTACCTCCCCCTGTGGCTAATTTTCAACTTCATGTCTCATGTAACTGCTTTTCCATTCCATATGCTCTACTTGAGAATGCCCCTTGCCCCTTTTCCCTGCACAAGCGTTCCCCTGCTCAGGCTAGCACCTTTTCATGTTTTCTGGAGAGATTATTACCCTGTAGCCCAGGGTGGCTGGGAACTCACTATGTAGGCCACGTTGGCCTATATCTCATAGGCAATCCTTCCACCTGCACTGTCCAACTATTTGGGTTACTGGTATGCACCACCACAAGCAGCACGGCCCTTCTCTTTTACAGGACTCTGCCTCCTTTTTTCTACCTACCATTCAACTGTTTCTGAATCAACAAGAAATAAATGCTTTTTTACCAATGATAAAAAAAAAAAAAGGGCCCTGACACTGGCATGACCCATAGCTCCTAGACTTGGGAATCTTTGACCCCACTGACACAGCATTAATGGTCAAAGTTTTCTATGCAGGATATTTTACCACTACACTCATTTGTACATGCTTGAAAAATCCTAAAAAAAAAAAAAAGCCTCCCCTCTGTCCAGTCCTCTTCAGTCTCTCTCATCATTCAGAGGCAGCTTTCTATGATTATGTCCTCAAATTGAAATTGTTCTTGTATCTCAGTCTAAGGATGTTTACCTATCAAATGGTCATACACTGTATTAATACCTCTTGGTCTATTGTGTTCTTCTGAATTCCTGGCTTCTTCTATTAACCATGACAACTACTGTAATCGAGGGGAAGCCTCTTGAATAGCTGTTACCAACCTCCTCCAGTTTTGGGAAATAATTCTATTTTGAGTATCCCAATTATTTAGAGTTTGTTTCACATGGGTGAGTGCATCCCACAAGACACACATCATCACCACTTTAAAATGTCTTAGGTCCATCACTTCCATAGGAACCATCTTATCTCATTATAACCTTGTGGGTTATCCCCATTAGCAGTCATATGCTGTATAACTACGAGGAAGGCTGTTGGTAATCTTTTGACCCAGGACTGCCTGTCCTCAAAAGGTGCTATGAGTTTGACCCTGTTTCCTGAAAAAGGCTGTCTTGTCTCATCTGAGGATATCCCTGCTTATATGAAGATTCACAGCCTGTCTGTATACCTCCTGTTGACTGTGAGCATTGCTTCCTACCAGTAAGTGGATTTTCCCGGAACATTTTAGGCACACCGTGTGAAACAGTCACAAATCATAACTTGCTCTGAGAGGTTCTGGAATGTATTTGAGTCAAGAAGTAAAAGCAGAAGTCAACCTTAAAATCATACTGTTCACCAAGTATTCAAATCTATGAACTTATGGGGGATAGACTTTCTATTTTATTTTACTTTTAATTTATCTGTCTATCTACCATCTATTCACTTTACATCCAAACTGCTCCCCTCCTATCTCCTCTCAGGATCACCCTTCTCAATCCATTTCCCATTGACCCCCATTATCCCCAGAAAAGGGGAAACCCTCCCTTGGGTACTGACCCACCATTTACAAGGAGATAAACTGCAGTCTCTCCTACTGGGGCACAACCAGGCAGTCACCTACAACAAAGAGGTTTTAGCTGCAGGCAGCAGAGTCAGAAACAACCTCTGCCTCAAAAAAAGTAGGCAGAGGCCTTTGGAGAGGAAAGGAATACATTCCTTAAAGATATACAGGAAGATACAATTAAACGGGTGAAGGAAAAGAACAAAATGGTTCAAGACATGAAAGTGGAAATAGAAGAAATAAGAAGAGAGAAACTGAAGGAGTACTGGAGTTGGAAGACCTAGAGAAGAGAACAGGAACTAGAGACACAAGCATCACCAACAGAATACAAGAGATAGAAGAGAGAATCTCCGGCATAGAAGATACGATAGAAAAAAAAAAAAACTAACACTGCAGACAAAGAAATGTTAAATGCACAAATTTTCTGACACAAAATATCCAGGAAATCTGGGATATCATGAAAAGAACTAACCTAAGATTAAAAGGAAGAGCAGAAGGGTGTCTCTTAGGTCAGTACCACCTGGCATCTATAAAAGAAAGAAAGAAGAAGAAAGAAAGAAGGAAGAAAAAAGGAAAGAAAGAAGAAAATGCAAACAACAACAACAACAAAACTGCTTGATTTTCTTCAGAAAAACAGGAAACAGGAGGCACTGAAAAGAGAGAAAGAGACTAAGAAGAGAAACTATCTGATGGAAAAATTGGCATTTAGAAGCCAAATTTTAATGCATATTCATTATTCAGAGGTATTGCTTGCAGTGTGTATTTTACAAGGTATGTCTAGTTATCTTTGGTTCAGCAGAATATCACAATAAAATTGTGAACACACAAGCACAGGCCTGGAAAGGATTAGCATCACTGATCAGACAGGTTTGGAACACCACAACTTGATACAAAGTTTTGTCTTAAACAGTGAACTATACAAGGAGTATATGATACAAGTGGCATAGATACATATGAGAGTGCATCATGCCACAGAAATGAGCAGAAGACATTACACATATATACATACACGCATCACATAAACATCCCACTCAGGTGTATAAACCACACACACACTCACACTCACAAACATACACATACAGATACAGACGTGTACCATACACACATGCCCCCACACACATATGCGTACACAAAAATACACATACACACATACACAGACACAAATACACACACAATCTCTGAGTATCTAGGAAACCTAGAATTGTCTCTGCTAAAGGCCTGCAAAACTCCACAACTTGGCTGTCCTCAGGGTTTATGTCAAGAGTGCCCATAGTCCCATATGGCCAGTGACAAGACAGGGATCACAGGGATCCAGAGTGTCACACAAGGAAGATCAAAGGGTGTTTCATGGACCAAGTTTTCCCCCACTGTACTAAAAATCAGGAGTCTTTGCTTCTTGCTGCTAAATGCAGGTTTTAAAGGTACCTCTGGCCCGGAGGAGCAGGGGCTGAAGTTTGGATACTTTGTAGCTTTAGCTTGCAGCCCTTGGAGAACTAGCCCCTGGAGCAACAAAAGTCACGATGGGGGGTGTCAGGAGGAGTTGTTGGAAGAGGAAAGGGTGGGACAGTGTTGCAGGGAGGTGCTTCAGGGAGGCCAATGGGCGGTGGAATCCAGAAAGCCAGGTGGGCTGTGGTGTAGACTATTGTGCCTTGTGAACTCCACATCCTGTGTTTGGAGTCCAGCATCTGTGAGCAAGCATCTTTCTCCAAAGGAAGAGCGTTTTGAAAAGGTACCAGGAAACATGGGCTGGCTTTCTGGTCTCAGCATGGGTGGGGGTTTCAGTGGGAGCCCCTTTCTTCTCAGATAAAGGTCTCATCAAGCACAGACTCTGCGCCTGATCCAGCAGGGAGCTGCACTAAGTATTGGATTAAACCGAGATCCCGAGACAGCCCTGCCCCAGGTTTGTGAGAACTATGAATCCTCTTCTGTTGAGGGCTCATGAGGCACCTGATGTTCACCACAATGTGTGAAGGAACTAGACCTGGGGCGGCTCTTGTTAGCAGGCATAACAGGCTGGGCTCCCTGCAAGCAGACTGTCCTCAGCCTCACTTTTGGAGACTATTCCATAGAAAAGGCATCTCCGCACTGAGGTTTTATGCCTGAAAACTTATCAACAAGCTGCACTGATGTCCTCAGCTGGGATCTCTTCAAGCTTGTGAGTTTGCTGAGAAATCACTGTGATTTCTCTTCTAGAAGCTCCCTCCTGGGGATGCTCCAGGAACCAGCATTTCGTCCTGGAAATCTGTGTCCCCAACTCTGTGAAAAGAGCTAGTGTCTGTATTTGGTTGACTGTCTTGTCACCCACTTGCCAGATGTCAGGGCTTCTGGAAAACCCACGGCGGACATAGCCAAGAGCAAATGGAAACCTGATAGTAGATTCTATGAAACCATGGAGCATAGGAAGAATGAAAGAGATGAAAGGATAAGGCTGGGGTAAGGGTTAAGGCTCAGAAACTTGAGATTGCCTGGTTGCAGAGAGCCCTGCTCAGTGGTCTCTGCACAGATGCCTTCCTCAAGGACAGGGTTGTTTGGGGAAAGTGGAAGGAGGATGTGTGAAACCACTGTAGCTTTTCCCAGGTGAGTTATCCCACCTTGGACATGGTATAACCTGAGGCTCACATATCACCTGCCCTGTGTAATGGGTCTGAAGAGTCGTGGATAGGAACCAGTTGACATCAGTGTTACTCTGAATGTTGTTGTTTGGCAGAGCTGGTCTTGCAGGATGCAGGAGTTCCTGAGGCTGCTGAGGGAGCATGAGGATGCCAGCTCTCCCACACCAGATTTGGTGACCCTGGCAGGCAAGCTGTGTCGGGACTTCCAAGACAAACCTGTTCAGGTGCTATGTTTGGTGGAAGCCATTCTGAACAGCAAGCATCGTTTGGCTCTTCTGAAAAATGAAGATGTGACCACGGTGTGTGTCCAGGTCCTGATCCAGCAGGAGCGGCTCCTTTTAGCCCTCCAGATTCTAGAGGTATGATGGAGGTATGGTGGTGGGTACAGAGAGAAGTGGGGACGCAGCAGCTTCCACTGTCCCCTAAGGTGTCATGAGCTGAGGCAGGATGGTACACTGATTTGACCAAGTAATCCCTAGCTTGGGAACCTTGGCAACTGTCCTTTTAGTAAATCCTTATTTGGTGGAGAAAGTGGACCAAGTGTTGACCAAATGTGTAGTTCTGATGACCTTGTGTGAGAAAAATTTCCTGGGGAGAGGAAACCCACTTGTCTACTCACCGCAGATAGGGAACCCACAACAGACCAAAGTTGGGGTAACAGCCAAGTGCCACTTGGACTAAATCTCTTCAGGCCCCTGGTCTGGTCAGAGTCTTCTGTGCAGCTATACTAGTGTGACAGTCTTCTTAGCCTCTGAGTTGTTTGCTCTGGCAGGGTGTGGCCTAGTAAATCTTGAAGCTGCCTTTTTAGTTGTTTACCTCTCTGCTTAGGGACCTCCCCTGCAGGATGGAATGTTTTAATCTGGGCAGAAACTGTTACACAACACTCCACCCCTTACTCTGTCTCGCATTCTCTTCCTGCTCCTCCTCTTGCAATGATCCCTGTGCCTTGGAGTGGGTGAGTGTAGATTTGCTCTAGTGTGTAAGAAAAGAAGCCCCCATGTCACAGTAAGAGTCACTTGTGATCAGGAGATTCACCAGTGGTTATGTGTTGATGCTTATAACAACAGTGATGTATGGGCACACATGTGTTTACAGGCAGTTGAACATCACATCCAAGAGTAAAAGCATAAAAGTAGCTTGCCCATTGGTGCATGTGCCCCTCCAACCACAGGATATTCTCCTGGCTTACACTATACCAGTGTGAACTCAGTATTTTGGAGCTGTCCTTAAATGAATTCAGAAGGCTGTAGCTCTGACCCACTCCCAGTAATTGAGCCACATTAGCACAAACAGGCACATCCTTTCTGGCATGTCAATATTTTAGCATGCAGGGTCCATAGTCAAGCAGAAATGTTGGTGGCAGTTGTCTAGCAGCGCCTTTCAAGGCCACCTCAGGCATTGGGAAAGCAGGTTAGCAGGCTGGTGGTTTCCAGATCAGTCTTATCTGAAATTTCTATCTCCCACAGTCAGAGCATGGACTTATGGTGTCCTCTGAAATTGGGTCTTACCATTTAACTTTGCCCTACACCCAACAGCAGAGGCATTAGTAGCCTTTAAGTTATGCCTGGCCTCAAGGGCTTCCCTGACCAACAGCTCATAGGGAGGTGGCCCACTCCTGGCCCTGGGGTTTTCATTCATCAACCTGGTGGCCTCAGTGTGTGTCCTTTTGGATTCCAGTTATCCCAACCTTGGTAGGGCAGTAGGCTGATGGAAGTCCCATTGTACATACAGGTCTCTGCAAGGGCTTTCCAAATCTGCACAACACTCAGGTTTCAGTAATGGCATCTGTGTAACAAAACCTTTGCCTGAGGATGGGCAAGGCAAGACAAACTCCCCAACCACCATCTCATAAGGTATAGTGAAACTAAAAAATACCTTGGCAAAAACACTCCTATAGTCTATTGTCTCTTGTTCTCAGTAGAGATCAGATGATCCCAGAACTTCACAACTAAAAGCATACTAAAGTCAAGCATAAGCAAAGTCTTATACAGCATGGAATGTTTCCATGCATGTGATATCAGTTGCTTCTTTGGTCCATCAAGTTGGGTACAAAGCATGGATAAGAGGAGGTAACTTTAATTACTCCCTGTAATCTGTGATCATTCTCTCTGAGCCAACACAAATCCATATCCTAGAGTTCTTCCTTGGAGCCTCCCTACATGTCTCCACACCTGATAAACTTAGTGAGCCTGATTTAATCTACTCAGTCATACCACACAGTGCCAAAAGGGACCATGGTCTTGCTCTGCTCTGCTGCACCCGCTGACTCCCTGGGTTGGCAGTAAGGGACATATGTAGCTGTTGCCTCCCCTTTCACAATGCCTGGCTGCTGGGGAGTTCCTGACAGGAGAAACCATATCCACCCCTAGCGTAACTTTTGCTTGAGGGAAAGTTCCCTTCCTTAGTCTGGGGTGGGGGACATAATTACCCATTGCTGGGTCAGGACTGGCTTGACCATCATCACCTCCATTGTTGCATCCTGGAAGTCTTCAGTGAAGTGGTCTTTGGTTTTAAGACTTCCACAAGTTTCTTAATGCAAAAATTGTTTTGTTTGGTTTGTTTGTTTCTCTTTTTTTGTTTGTTTTAAATCAATGTTGTTCTTAGGAAATACAGTTCCACTGAAATTCAACCACATCTGCCTTTGAGTAAACCGGATAGAATTCTTTTTCTGCTTGTCTTATTTCTCACATCCTCTGGGTAGCTCTCTAACTTTACAGACACTCCTTACAGGCTGGATGAAGTTACTTGGCTCATCAGAGCCTTTCCTGCTGTTTAAATACCTTGCCTGATCAAAGGGCTCAGGAAAACGGACTAGATCATGGTGGCTTCAAGGTCCCTGCTGGACCAACATTTTCTTTGACCCCTTATGAACATGGTTCTATCTCATCCAGTAAACAGAGAATCAAAGTCAGCTGCTTTTACTCCTAGTTCCCTCAGTAGTATCTGCCCCTTCTCCATGGTCCTTCATCCCCTGTTATTTGTGGGCACTTCAGACAGATCACCCAGTGATCCTAATGGCTTTGATAAACCAGTACATCAGGGACTGATTTCTCTCACCAGGTCCCATGTTAGTCAGCCTTTGCATTACACAGGGATAGGATATTACTCAGTTTCCCTGGCACAGCCACTGTCAGACAGCACACATCCACTCCAGTGTCCTACAGCCTCACAGTTCAGGCTGAGACAGGCTCTTTCATTACTTGTTTGAGAATCTTCCCTTATTCTACAGGCTGAATGATTCAAACTAGTTTCTTCAATTGGGCCATGGTTAATGCCCACATCTGCATGATGGATTATATATTCTCCCTCTTTTCTACTTTGGACTTCAGGTGTATCTTCAATTCTAGCATTCTTTCTTTCTATCTATCTATCTATCTATCTATCTATCTATCTATCTATCTATCTATCTCAATCTCATTCTTTTGTGTAATTTAGTTGCTAAATCAGCAGCTATGAGAGGGGATGCTGTCTGCATCTCTGTTTCTTGTTGAAAGTGCCCCTGTATAAAAAACAAGTTCCAGCTTAGCTGTCATCTCAGCCTCAGACAAACGTCTAAGTATATACAAGGGTAGTCAGGCAAACTCTGCTGCTGATTATAACAATCTGCACACATCTTTTTGTTTTGTTTTTGGTTTTTGGTTTTTCGAGACAGGGTTTTTCTGTGTAGCCCTGGCTGTCCTGGAACTCACTCTGTAGACCAGGCTGCCCTCAAACTCAGAAATCCACCTGCCTCTGCCTCCCAAGTGCTGGGATAAAAGCCATGCGCCACCACCGCCCAACAACTATCTGTATTCTTGTGCCCAATCTCGAAAACTGCAAAATTTCCTCTAAGCCTTTAGTGCTTTTCAGTGATTCTCTGTATTTACATGGCAGACACCACTCTTCAATCTGGCAAGCCCACCCATCCCACACATAGACGAATGCCATCCTGGGATTTGTTCCAAGGACACTCCTAATCCTGATGACTCAGTCTTAGTTTCATGTCTCACTTGCCATAGAAAGGACCATGTAACTGTTGTCAGAACATACAATCACACTATACACACCACACAGGAATGTCCAACTCTAACGGAATCTCCTTGATGGATGTTCAGGCTTCCCTCCCAGCCTCAGTTTATATGCCTGTTGAGGTTCATGCAGGCACTCTGTATCAACTCATCCTTGGTTCTATTTGGTCCCTCTGTGGGCTCCAATCACATTGTTTAACTTTACACACACACACACACACACACACACACACACACACACACACACACA